CGCTCCCCGGCAGGCAGCCGGATGCATCCCCCCGCGCACACCACGAACGCCCACGCGCCGGCACGCGGTCAGCATGGCGGCAATCTCGTGACACTGGTACGACGAGCAATCCGCATGCGATGCAAACATGTACAACAATTCTCGGCTACTCGCAAGAGTGACCCTGGGCAAGAGTGACCTTTGGTGCGCGGCTTTTTGGGGGCCGCGGGGCGACCAAACACAAGCGCGCAAGACGCTACAATCGCATCGCGTTCGACGGTCGGGGCACCCCAACGGGCCCGCACCAAAGGTCACTCCAGCGAAGGATCACTCTTACGTGTAGTCGAAATTCCCCCTCCTCCTATATGGCAAACTGGCACGCCGCATCGCATATGAGCCGATCTTTACCACAACAGGCTGCCCCGAGCTAAGACTGGCTCTGGCAGTGCAGGTGTGCGCAGCCCACACACGAGAAGCCATCGTGGAGGACGTGGGGTGCCCGAAGTGTTCCCCACGGCAGGCAGGCAGCCTCAGGATCCCCAGAGGAGGAGGGGGAAGGCGGATGGGAGGATGGGAAGAGGAAAGGAAGAGGGAGGGACGGGATTTAACGGGCGAAGAACGGTGTAACATAAACTTTCTCGCTGTCGGGGGCGCCTGTCCCTGGGCGGCTGGAAAGTTTATACCCTTACGGTGGCACCGTATGGGTTTAAACTTTCCAGCCTCCCAGGGGCAGGTGTCCCCGACGGCGGAAAGTTTATTTTATACGGTTCTTCGCTCGCTGAAGGATGGTGAGCGATCTTCAAACGAACCCGTGTCACCGCCTGGGAGCCTTCAGGCCAATGTGGCAAGGTGCGTCCGAGTGGCGCCCTCCTTTTTGTGCCCACTGCCCGCGTGTCCAGCCGCGCAGCTGTCAAGGCGGGTTCCCTGCGTGCCAGCCGGAGCAAGTCCACAGGCTCCGAGGGTGGTAACCATTGCTCCCACAGCGCCATCCTTGCGAGCTGCCGGCGTGGCTCTTCGCTGTCCCCCGCCAGCTGCTCCCCAGTCTCACGCTCTACGACATTCCCTGGCCACGTTCGCGGCTCCGGGGCGACAGCGAATTGACGCGAACAGGTGATGCCTCGATCTGCAACTGTTCGAGCTACTACGAGACTAGAGGGGGGCGGCTGGGAGTGGTATGGAGTTTGGAGGGATGAGAGATGGATTTAATTCACACGCGCACACACATATATATTTATATAGATATGTATATATATAGATATGTATGTCAATATATACATATGTATATACACGCATACACACATATGTGTATTGTTTTTTCAAACCGTCGCCGCACTGAAGCAAGGTCCCGAATGTCTCTCGTCGGGGTCTCGAGGCCGTTTTGAAGCCGTCTGGTGGGCTTACTGGGCCGCCTTGGGGCTCATTGGGGCCGTCTTGGCCCCTCAAGGCAATCTTCGGGGCCTCTTGGGGGTGTTCTGGGGCGGTCTGGGGGCCTGGTTTGGCTGTCCTGGGGCCCTCTTGGGCCGTCTGGAGCCCCTCCGGGGACCCTCTTGGAGCGTCTTGGGGCCGTCTTGGACTCCTTTTGAGCCGTCCTGGGCTTTATAGGGTTTTCTTGGAGCGATCTCGGGGGCCTCTTCGGCCGTCTCGGGCAACTCTCGAGACCGAGAGACCGAACACGCGGAAATTGCACCGAAACCTAAGGAAAACCCATAATTCTTGAGTCGTCTTCGGGCCCCCTTGGGCCGTCCGGGGAGCCCGTCTGGCCGTGGAGTGGCCATCTTGGGGCCCCAAAAGGGTGCCATACGGCCCGGGCATGTCCGAGAGGCGCCCCAGACGGCCCACGGGAACCCGAAGTGGGGCCCAGCAAAGACCCAAGGCAATCCAAGAGGGCCCCACGGCGGCCCCAAAAGCACCCAAGGTGGCCCAAGGCGGCCCGGACGCGGTCCAAGAGGCGCCTTGCACGGCCCTGGAAGGCCCCGAAAGGCCCCTCTGGAGGCCCAAACGAGCGCCTCTGGGGCTCCCAAGCGGCCCCCTTTTCAAAAACTGCCTCCAAGCGAGCGGGGCGGACGAGAGACGAGAGGCCTCTCACGACCGACAAGAAATAGTTTTTGACGCTCCAGTCGCCCTGGGTACTTGTCTTCTGGGCGGCGACGACGACAACGACGACGACGACACCGACAACGACAACGACGACGACGACGATGAAGACGACGACGACGACCCCTTGTCGCCCCGCGGGATCGGAGGCGATGTTGTGCAACATGTGCAGCGGCATCTTGGTTCGGAGCTCCGCGTTGGGGACATACCAAAACCGCTGCCCTGCTGCGATCCTTACTTTGCCGCGACGCCGATCCGACGCCTCCGACACGGCCCGAAACGGCGTCGCATTTGCCCCAGCCCGCTCCCGCGTCCGCCCCGATCCCCGCGCGAATCTTCCTACGCAACTTCGGCCTGGCTTCTGGGCTCGACCACCTCGGAACCCGCATCAATGCACTGGGCGCTTTTAGTTCGGGGACGCTAGAACAAGCTTCGAAGTAACTACGGCACTAGCTGACAGCCTTGCTCCATCCACAGTTCACACTTGTACACATAGATATACATGTATGGATACACGTAATGTGGAGTTTCAGAATTCGGATTTCTATATATATATATATATATAGATATGATTACTAGAACCATCGCGCGCGCTTCGCGCGCGCTCAGGTTCTCTGGAATCCCAGCTCGCAATGAGATGTCGACGGTTGGGCTACGGTTCTGGATGTGACTTCAGCCCGCAAATTCCCCCCTTCCCCTGCCTGCCCCGGCCGCTGTTCACCCCTGGCCCCACCCAGACGACGATTCCGAGGGTATGGATGTTGAGGATTGCGGGAACGATGGTGTTTCGGATGACTATGACGGTGCAAACGCGTATGACGAGAACCGTTCTGATGGTGATATCGGCGACGCTGTGGATGACGATGATGGAGATGATGACGAGCATGAGGGCGATACCTGGGCCGATGATGGCGATGATGACGATAAGTACCGCGATGATGGTGATACTGGCAATGCGGTGGTCGTCTGACGACGGAAATCCATGCAAATTCGAGACGCTTCGCGTATCCCCACCAGCCTCGCCGCTGGCGCCCTCGCCTGCGGTTGCGACAAAAAATGTCCCCACCAACCCATCCAGAAACGAAGCCCAGGCGAGTAGAGGGCCGTCCTGAGGGACTCTTAGACGTCCTGGGTGCCTCGGGGAGGCCTCTTGGGGCCGCTTGGGGTCCTCTTGGGGGCATCTTGGAGGCCTCTTGGGGCCATCATGGGGCCATCATGGGGCCATCTTGGGGCCTCTTGGGCCTCCTGGGCGCCTCTTGGGGCCATCTTGCAGGAGATCGATCAAACAAGAGGAGAGCTTCAATTAGGGTCCCCCCCCCAGAGGCAAAAATGGGGCCCAAATCATAATAACATCAATGATTTTGGCTTCCTCGCCGAGGTCGTTTTGGACGCCCTGACACCTCGCGGAACCCCCCGTCCAGGTCCAGGGGAGGGGGTAGGGGGAGTGATAAACCCCTCCCCGAAGGGGAAGGAGGAGGGGTGGAAGAGGAACCTCTCTAAACCACCGACGCCCAGAGGGCTGGTGGGATACGGACGATGACGACGATGAGAAGAGTGTGGGGACGACAATTGTCATGATGGCGGTGGCGATGACTAACATGCCAGTGCTCATGACATCGGTGACTGTGACGAAGCGTATGATGACGTCTACGGGTGGGCTGTGGCTCTGGATATGACTGCAGCCCAAGACGTTGGCATAGGTTGTGTACAGCCCTTCCTGGAACAAGGAGGCATCCATGAGGACGACAAATGTGATGAGGGGGGACCCGCCAGGCTCGGGCCCGCTACGAGGCCGCGGAACGACCATGCCTCAGAGCTAATTTGAATCTAGTTTGGGGTTTGTTGCGGGGTGTTGGGGGCCTCTTGAGGGCCTGTTTGGTCCTATTAAGGGGTTGGCGCTCCTCCGGAAGACCGTGTGGTGTTCGACGCCGCGGGGAGTGTTCAACCTTGGACGATCGGCGGCCTTGAAAGCGTTCAACCTTTGAAGGGGCCCCAGGACACACAAATAAATACACACAAATAAAAATGCTTCCCATATTTTCTGGGTTTTTGTCTTCCCCACCACTTCCCATATTTTCCCATATTTCCTGGGGAATCGACGATTAATTGTGTCTGTGTGTTTTTTTCCCTCCTGAACCTTGAAAGCCCGCGCCCTCTCAGGGGCCTTTTGGATCCTTTTGGGGCGCCCTGGAGGCGCTGGCCGTCTCGAAGCCGTTTCGGGCTGTCTCGGAGCGCCCCTGGGGCTCTCGAGGCGCCTCCTGGAGGCGTGCTGGGCAGTCCGGAGCCTGAAGGCTGTCTTGGCTGGCCGTGGGCCGCCCTTGGGGCCGCCTCGGAACTCCGAAAGCCGCCCGGGGAGCCCTCGGGGAGGGCGGGGGCCGCTCTGTACAAGTGCCCCTTTCTCTGGTGCCACGGGGCCGGGACCTCCCTTCTTGCATACACGTGTGTGTGTATATATATATATATCGATATATGTATGTATGTACAGACTTACACATGTACAGGTTAGCATGTGTACAACTCTAGGCATACATGCATACATACATGCATGCATACATGTGTGTCTATATACATAGACGCATACATGCATAGCTTCATGCATGTCTGCATGCACTCATTCGCTCGTGTATATATATATACAGGCATGCATACATACGTATGTATACACATCTACATACGTGCACACGTACATACAAACACATACATATACTATACATACACATACACATGTCTACATTCGTGACTATGTATATATATATATACATACACATCCATCCATACATACATACATACATACGTACGTACGTTCACACATACATACATACACACATGCATGTATGCATGCCTGTATACATACATGCATACACACATATTTACAGTCATACATACATTCATACATACATACACACATGCATCGTGCATGCATACTTGCATACATAACTACATACAACCGTACACACATGCATATCTACATACATGAATGCATGCATGCGCGCATGACTCCATACACACGTGCATACACATATCTATATATGTATATATATACATATACATAAACGCAGGCATGCGTACACACATCTATATATACACATACACAAACAACATGCATACACATACATACACACATATACATGTATATACATATATAAACACATACATGGATGCATGCATGCATGCACACATGCACATATGCATACATACAATCATGCATACGTATACATACATACATTGCTACACACATACATACATGCACACATACATACATACAGGCATGCATGCATACATACATGCGAACATACATACATACGTACTCACATGCATACATACATACAAACATAGATTCATACATACATCCACCCATACATACATACATACATACATACATACATACAAACATACATACGTGCTTCCATACATACATACCTGCATACGTCCATACACATATGTATATATTATATGTTTGCACACGCATCACACATACACATGCACACATACATATACATGCACACATACATACAAACATACATTCATACATATATGAGTGCATGTATACATACACACATGCATGCATGCACGCATGCCTGCACACATACACATATGCATACATACAATCATGTATGCATGCATCCATACATACATACATACATAGCTACATACATACATACATGCACATATGTACATACATACATACAGACAGACATGCTTGGGGCTCGCTTGGGGCCCTCTTGGGGCTCACTGAGGCCGTCTCGGAGCCTCCTAGGGCGCCTCTTGGACCATTTTGGGCGCTTTGTTCCTGAAGGGAGGGGATCTTCTAAAAATATACGTTTTACGAAGGGAATAAGCCCAATTTGGTCTCCCGGGGTTCTTTTGATGGCCTCTGGGAGCTTTCTTGGGGCGTCTTGGGGCCTTTTGGCCCTTCTGGAAGCCAGCGTGAGCCGTCTTGGAGCGCTCCTGGGGTTTTCTCTCGGGGCGTCTCGGAGTCCTCTTGGGCACTCTTGGGCGGACTGGGAAGCCTGGGGGCCGCCGGAAGAGCATCCCAGGAGGCTCTCCTAGGCCGTCTTGGGGCTGTCCTAGACCGTCTTGGGGCGTTCTTGGGCGCCTCTTCGGGCCTTTTGGGGGCTTCTAAAAATGTATTTCTTACGAAAGAAATGGGGCCAGTTTTTTGTCTCCTGGGGCTCTCTTGGAGGGCCTCTTGGAACCTTCTTGGGGCGTCTTGAGGGCCTCGTGGCCCTTCTGGAAGCCATCTTGGGCCGTATCGCAGCGCTCATGGGGCCCTCTCGGGGCGACCGGGAAGTCTCTTGGGCCATCTTGGGCGGACTGGGAGGCCCGGGGGCCGCCGAAGGAGCGTCCCGGGAGGCCCTCCTGGGCCGTCTTGGGCCTGTCTCAGCCGTCCTAAGGCGTCCTTAGGCGCCTCTTGGGGCTTTTTGACCGCTCCGATGTCCACGGGAGCTGATATTCTGAAAATGTACGTTTTACGACGGGAATGGGGCCATTTTGGTCTCCTGGGGCGCTCTTGGGGCGCCTCTTGGCGGCCTCTCGGGGCCGCTTGAGGGCCTCTTGGCCCGTCTAGAAGCGATCTTTGGCGGTCTTGAACCGATCCTGGGGTTCTCTCGGCGCTGTCAGAGCCTTCTTGGGCGGACTGGAACGCGCGGGGGCCGCTGGAGGGGCGTCCCGGGAGGGGGCCACTACTTATGTACAATGGGGGTTCCGGCCCAGGGCCCGGGGCCCGGGAACTCCCATATGCGTATATTCGTGAAACGCAAGAACAATGTATACACAGGTAGATAAGGGGCATGTGGAGAGAGGGAGAGAGAGAGAGAGAACAACATAGAAACAATGAGAGAGAGAGAGAAAGAGGAAGATAAAGAGAGAGAGAGAGAGAGATAGAGTGAGAGGAAGAGATCAGTCGATGGGGGAGAGAGGAAATGATGAACACACACACACATCACAATATGGCGAGCGAGAGAGAGCGAGAGAGAGAGAGAGAGAGAGAAAAATATAATGAGAGAAAGAGAGAGAGAGAGAGAGAGAGAGAGAGAGAGAGAGAGAGAAAGATAGTTAGAGAGAGAGAGAGAGTGACAGAGGGAAGGAACGAGAGAGAGAGAGAGAGAGAGAGAAAGAGAGCCAAAGAAACACGAATCCACATGATGCCAAGCGCAAGAACGGCCGTGCATTGTCTGTCACACGACGGCTCGCTACATGACAATAGAGCCATCGTGCTACATCCTACATCTCGCGCCACGACTATCAAGTGCAACCTTGTTTGCAAATTCAAGCAAGTACGTATTTAAAATGCACAATGCTGCTGGTGAAAACTTACTCGCGGAAAAGACAGGCCCCCTACGGAAACGTGCCAGTCATACTTGGTCAGCGAGATTTGGTAACCACAAGCAGCTCTTTTGTGCGATATTCGCCTTTGCGCCAAATGCA